TCCGCTCGATAGCATGTCAGCTGATCGAGATGAATAGCGCAGTCCGGAACGCTGTTGTTGAGCCAAGTTTCCGTGAACACAAAAACACAACAGTCTCTTACAGTCCTCTGACTTGAGCGTAGTAGTCGAATGTAGTCCAGTTAATTGTCCAAAGAGCGTACGTTAGCCAGTACGATGGTGGAGATAGCCGGCTTGTGTGGGTTAGCCACTAGCCTAGCCCGGATACCGCCGCGCTTACCCCTCTTCTGCTTCCTCTCGCGCCGCTTGTGGCGCCTCCGCTGTGGGCGAGATGCAGCAGTGGGGGTCGGTGATGGTGTGGGCCTCCGGAGCAGACAGAGATCCCGCAGCTCTTCGGCGTGCGCAGAGCTTAACTCTAAAAATGTGGTTCTGCCGACATCGAGCAGAAACTCACGACTATATGCGCGCTTAGAAACAAATAGACACGACGAATACGTACAAAAACACTGCGACTCACAAGACAGAAAACACCTTTCTGTCGGGAGAGAGAGAAGCCGCAGCGTGTGAACGCGCCGCCATCTTACGATAAGTAAGATGATGAGTTACACACCGAAACTTATTTGAAGTATGAGCAATAGTAAGCATTAAGCCAAGCAAGCACCATTAAAGGGGTCATATGATGCGATTTCAAGTTTTCCTTTCTCTTTGGAGTGTTACAAGCTGATTGTGCGTAGATAAGATCCCTGAAGTTGCAAAGACTAAAGTCTCAAAACCAAAGAGATATTCTTTATCAAAGTTAAGACTCTGCCACACCCCCCTAAAACGGCTCATTCTAACACGCCCCCACATACAGTGGGGAAAAAAAGTATTTAGTCAGCCACCAAATGGCAAGGACACACTATCTTGGAAAGGCTCAGAAGCTGGTTTGCAGGGATGGTAATGATTTGTATTTTGTCTTTTATGCAGGTCAGGAAAGACTCTGTCAGCTGTCAGAAAACACAACCTACTTTCGCAGGAGATTACATGAGATGGGCTTTATCATCTATGGGAACAATGACTCCCCTGTTGTACCCTTGATGCTCTACATGCCAGCTAAAATCGGGTCAGCCTCACTTTTTGTTTAACTGAATCATGGCTATTGTATTTGATGATATGCTCTCGCCAGAGGATATGTTTTTATGTTTTGTTTTTTGATGATTTAACAAAAAATTTACTTGATTTTGCAGACTTTGTTTTTATGAATTTATTTATTTTGTATACTGTTGTTTAGAGCATTTGGGCGGGAGATGCTGAAGAGGAACATTGGGACAGTGGTGGTTGGGTTCCCTGCTACACCCATCATTGAGTCCCGAGCTCGTTTCTGTGTTTCTGCCGCCCACACGAGAGAGATGCTCGACACAGTGAGTATCACATGTACACTAGTAAAACAATAATTGTAAAAAATAATGACACAAAATTGTCTTAATTTTCTGTATTATAATTTATTTTTGTCTTTTCATTTTGATTTTGGGGTAAAATAGTACTTTGTAGGGAAGGCCATTTCCGCCACTGAATAAAAAAAATATAAAAAGGTAATTGCAACTTTTCATCTCCCAATTCTGACTTTTTCACGCAATTGCGAGTTGTAAAGTCAAGATATTAACTCGCAATACTAAATATTTTTTTCTTGCAATTGTGAGTTTACATCTCGCAATTCTGATTTTTTTTCTCAGAACTTCAGGATACAAAGTCGCAATTGCATGTTATAAAGTCAGAATTGTGAGATATAATCTTGCAATTGCGAGTTCTAAAGTGTTTGTATCCGACAATTCACTTTTTTCTCACAATTCTGACTTTTTTTCTCCGAATTGTGAGATATAAATTCGCAATTGCGAGTTATCAAGTCCAATTGTGAGTAAAATAAGACTATTTCCTTACAATTGCGAGATAATATCACACAGTTCTGACTTTATATCTCGTAATTCTGACTTTGTAACTTGCCATTGTGAGTTTCTAACACGTAATTAAAAAAAAAAGTCTGAATTGTGAGATGAAAATTTACGATTACCTTTTTTAATTTTTTATATTCGG